GGGGGGGGGGTGCACAGCAGCTCTGTTAACAATAGCTAAAGGGTGGAAACAACCCAAATGTCCATCAGTAGCTGAGGGGATAAACTGTGGTCTACCCACACAACGGAATATTACGCAGCCACGAAAAGGAATGTAGTATCAATGGATACGGGCTACAACGTGGATGCACTGTGAAAACGGGGTGCTGCGTGAAGGAAGCCAGATGCAAAAGGCCACAGACTACGTGATCCCACTTGTATGAAATGTCCGGCATAGGGAAATCCATGAAAAGAGAAAGGGGACTCGGGGTGAGGGAGGGAGAGATGGGGAGTGACTGCTCAGTGGGTGGGGGGTTTTACTGTGGGGTGATGACAGGTTTTGGAACTCGACAGCGCTGGTGGGTGCACAACACTGTGAGTGTGTCCACTGCCCAAAAAATGACAGAATTCCTCGTGGAAATTTTCACATCCAGCGCGCTGAATCGGGGCGGGGGGGGATCAGAGAGCACTCTGAATGGGTTTGTCGNGGGTTCGTCGTTTTTCCTGTCTCCAAAACACCCCCATCTGGAGATTTTAGAATCCTTTAATGACCGACCGCTCACTACGTGGCGACATTCTGGGTCAAGGCCAGCTGTGACCACAGTTTATCCCCAACACTGTGAGTGTGTTAAAAGCCACTGGTTTGTACACTTTAAAATGGTTCATTTTACGTTACATGGATTTCACTTCAATTTAAAAAAAGACCAATTTCCTGGGGGAAGGTGATTAGGAAAAAAAAAAAATTGTCTAAAATAAGGCTCCTGCTGAGGGTTGGGGGCAATACCAGGGAAAGGCTGAGGGAGACGGGTGAATGGTGTTGGGGGGGAGCCCCCGGCACAGCTGGCCTTGACCCAGAATGTCGCCACGTAGTGAGCGGTCGGTCATTAAAGGACTCTAAAATCTCCAGATGGGGGTGTTTTGGAGACAGGAAAAACGACAAACCCATTCAGAGTGCTCTCTGATCCCCCCCCGCCCCGATTCAGCGCGCTGGATGTGAAAATTTCCACGAGGAATTCTGTCATTTTTCGGGCAGTGGACAGCAAATCTGCCCGCGGGGGGATTCTGTAAGGCAGACTCGTTTCCCCCAAGCCTCCCCATTTCCTAAGCTGCTTTCCCTGCGCTATGGAGGAAGTGTCTCCCGGAGAGCGCACGCTCCCCCACTCCCACGCCTTCCCAACGCCCGCCCTGCAGGACCTCGTAGCTACGGGAGCCCAGTGGCTTGCGTGTGGGGTGCAGACACAGTGGAGGCACAGACAGGACGGAGCCCCAAACCTCCCATCTCCCTCCTGGGCACACAGGAGGCCTTTCCCAGCCTCCTCTGGGTTAGGCTGTGGGCCTGTAACTTGAGTTCTGGTTACTGAGGCAGAAGTGACAGGTGTCAGGTCTCTCCTCCCCTCCCATGCCATCTGCTGCGGTAACTATGGATTTAAGATAGCGCCACCTGCAGAATACCCCCCGCCCGCCCGGTGGTCACACTGTGGCAGAAACCAATGACACGGGCAGTGCCTGTCACCAGAGCACAGGCTGCCTCCCCGGGGAGTGCTGTGTCCAGCCCTGGGAAGCGCATGCATGAGACACCGACAGTGGCTGCCGGCCGCTCATCACCCCCTTTAATTCCCAGCCTTCCCCCGGGAGTGAGTGCAAGTGGCAAGTGCCACTCCAGCCCTCGCTCACAGAACCCCCTCAGACTGTCCCCTGAGGGCTTGATTCCCTGCAGTTGGATGGAGTCCACCCCAGGGTGTTCCTGAAAGCTGCAAGGTAGAGCCTCACTGTAGAGCCAGGTGAGTCAGCGTCTCTAAATGGCAGCCCGGGGGCAGCCCCGCCCCCCTCCCCCCTCCCTGGTGTTACTTCAGCAAGAAAGTTCTTGAGTGTTGGAGCCATCGTATATTTTTGGGTCTATTTATTACAGAACTAGCATTACCCTAATACAATCATTGCTAAATGGCCATAATACATTTATGCTATAATTGCACATGATTTTAATCACCGAAGGAATGTCCTTTTTCTCTTGATTCTAAATTTCCAGAAGTGAAAGACTAGAAGTTAAAGTTGCTGCAAGGCAAAGGTTAAAAACATTGCGAGGTAGTCGGTAGTGTGGCTGTCAAATGCCAGGTTTCCCACCTACAAACAAGCAGGGTGCGCGATCCCCCATCTGTACAGCGGAATGCCAGGCAGGCCCACCCCTCGGCCGGGGTCGGTAATTGATGGCCCGCAGGCCACTTCCGGCCTGTGGCCTGTTTCTGTACAGCCCTCGAGCTCAGGATGTTATGCACATTTTCTAAAAACAAAGAATACGTGACTGAGACCATATGCAGCCCAGACAAATATTCACTAGCTGGCCCTGTCTCATAGGGTTGCTTCGAGGGCCATCAACAGTTCAGGCCTGTGCCTGGCGCAAGGGAAGCAAGCAATACAAGGTAACACATGCAATACAGCTATTAACGTCCTCAAAAATAAACTGCCACGTGGCTGAATGTGTTTCCTCTAGGTGAACAGTCTCCCCTTCCCTCCCGGGAACAAAAGACAAACATCTGATTATTATGGACACAGATACTTTCAAATTAAAAAGTTGCTGGTAGTTCAATTTCACAACTAAGAGAAAGAAGTGTCTCCCCTTGAGAGCAAAGGGACCCAATGGTGGCAGAAGAAAGCCTGGAACATGGAAGCGCGACTCAGTCTAATACATCGGGGAAGACCGCGACATTTGACATTTTAAAACTAGACATTAAGTAGATGTGGTAAAATAGCAAACTGGCTTAGCGACAACAATTTTGCTGTGCGAATGCACTCGCAATGGAGATCTACAACAGGGTTCAGGCAGAGACAACGTAATGCCGGCTTTTCAAGGCCTGACTGGGTGGATGCTTTCAAACGAGATGCTTGGTGGAACTGGTCTGGCGACAAGGTAGACTAGTGTTGGATGTGACTGGTGTCTCACTGAGAGTGTTTCCCAGAGGAGGTCTGCACGCGCTGGACCACAGGGACGCCGTGTGTACGGCGCCTGTGGGGGAGGGAAGCTCCAGGGTCTACAACAGCGTATTACAGGCTTTGAGAAACACCACAGTGCAGGGAAGTGGTGACTGTTTAGCCCACGGCCTTTTCCTTCCGCACAGCACGTAGTGACATCACGAAGCATTGGGACTTCGCAGGGCATCCTGGACTGGCAGTATGTCGTGCGGCTTTCAGTCGACATGAGCAACACACTGAGAACCTGGGTTTCCCACAAAGCTTCCGAAGTTCTCGTTTTACAAACACACACTTTTAACATAACTGCAAAGCAGCAGTCTTTGCATTATAGCCAGACACTCGCAAGATGACTAGCGAGCTTATAAAATTCACGTTTGGCAGGAAAATCATAGTCTAAAGATACCCTGTTCACTCACCAATGTTAAGAAAAATTTCAGCAGAGCACATTTTTGCCTATTTTGATCAGAAGAGACGGGAGACGTTCTGCTACGAGTCGTGGCAGGGCTCTGTCCTGGGACGGAATCGGGCAGGCCATTCGTGTGGTTTCTCTGGAAAGTTCCATTTATTAATCATTGTACAAAAAAAACCCCAACATCTTGGCGTTCATTGGAAGAAAGAGAAAAGAAGTTACTAAATATCCAAATATTTAATATTTTAACATTGTGAAAGTTCTACTTTTATAACAGGGCTTTTTAAAGTGGAGAAAACTTTGGAAAAAATTTTAAAAAGAAACTTATGATTTATTAGAGTACAGGATCCAAAAACACGTTTTTAGAAAAATATAAAGTGCCCGAATACCGACTTACACAGGCGACAGGCCTCCTGGAGCGAAGTGAAGCAGTCGTGAGGAGACAGTGAGAACAGTCTAGATACATATTTACATTGGGTCAGTAAAGGGAAAACCGCCTTTCTGGCGACAATGTTACTCTACGAGAAAAGGAAATCGAACTGGAAAACCAACAATCATAATTCTCAGCACGCTCCACGGTTTCTTAGTATGTGTCTCGGTAATATTTACTCCACACTTTCTAATTTCCACCTTTAAATGAGAGTAGTGTAAACCCCCCGGCCTCAGGCAGGCTGGGTGCTATGAGTGGTCACAAGTTCAAATGCGAGTCCAAATCCTCTGACTTTGGATGTGACGAGGAACGTGGACACTGGACGACAGCGAATTCAGGCTGGAAGGAGCCGGCTGGCCAAATCTCCATCTTTCTAAAAACTGCTTAACTCAGCCAGCACTTGATATTAAGTGTCTCGGGTGGCGTTCCCAGACCTGTCATCCCAGGGTTTCCAAGGGATCAACAGGAGGCAGTCATCAAACATGGTGAGAAAACATTGCATGCAAATGAACACAGGCAGCGAGTGACTGCTCCCTACCACCTAAAGCCTCATTCATTAGATCAACTGGGTTCTTTTCAAGAGAGTGAAGTGACGAGGCCCTAACTGCAGACATCAGCCTTGGTTGGTGAACTACAAGATTAGCCTGCTGGGGACCTGGCAGGCCATGCAGTGGGAGTTCCAGCGACGCCCAGACTTGGAACCTTCAACGGGGCTACTAAGAACGTGGGAGAGGAGCTGGTGTGACCTTAGTGAGAAGCCGGACTCCCCCACGGGACTCAGGCACAGGCTTCACCCTGAGGCTTTCACGGCCACGGTGACTTGGGAGAGCAGCACTCATTTCCTTTCCCACCGATCAAACAATCTTAAAATGAAAGACATGTGATTTACTTCTACCTGGCCCCATTCAAAGAGGTCCTGAGTGATTCTCAAAAATGAAGGCAGCATGCGACCTCTTTTTTCTTTCTTAAGGTTCATTATTTCTTCTGGTTATAAAAGTGAAGTCTCATTTTTAGGTCTCTGGAGACCTCGAAGTGTAATTTCTAAAAGCAAACATTTTAACATCAGATTGTACTTCCTACTAGAAAGAGAACCCATCACTGATTTAAGATCTACTCACGCACTGGAGAGTCTTAAAATTTTTTTTTTAAAGTTATTTTAAAGGGAGGAATAGTAGATGAACATGGAAAAAGCCATCACCAAGGCCATTATTATGCATTTTCTCAAAGAATTCCATGTAATAAAGTGGAAAACTAATGATTCATAGCAATAGGAGCATAAATCCAAGAGGGAAACTGTGTTATTCTTCTAATTCAAATACAGAAAAAGGTAAGTGCCTGGAATCTGTTTCACGCATTAGAAAAAATAAATGCAAACGATTCTGATTAGCACTAGTTTGCTCATCTCCAAGATGCTGCCAGGATCACTGAGCTTCACCTCTGAACAAGCAACTAAATTCAGAGTGAAAAGACCCACAACCCTGACTCAGGGCTGCACCAGCTCCACAGAGAAATCAGAAAGAAACTGTTGCAAACTTATAACCCCATCTGCCCAGCAAATGAAATGCTCTGAGACAGAAGTGCGAGACAGACATACTGCAGAGAGAACTTAAGAAATGATTAGAAGAGCGTTGGCTGTGAGACCTCATGAAGACAGAATGTCACAGACTGTCACCACAGGACAAGCATACAAGCCATGCCACTGACACAGTGCCTTTCCAATGACTCACTAGTGTGGGCGGAGAGCGACACTGTCTCTGCAGCTGAGGAGAGCACAGGCTATGCAAACTCAGAGGGAGGCGACCGCACTCCTGCTAAGTGGCCTTCCCGGTGGTGCGAATCCAGAGGGGTCCGTGGGGACATTGGAGTCCGGTTCTCTCAGGAGACAGCAGTGGCAGCAAAGGCGCAGTGTCCTCCGCTGGGCCTTACTCTGCGATCTCTTTCTTCGCACTGTAGATATTCTGCACCGTTTCGTAGACAGACTCCAGGTCCTCTGGGTAGCGGAGCTCCAGCTCTGCGTTCGGGATGTAGTGGGTGCCTGTGAACTCCGAGAAATAGCGTCCGACATCGGGGTGCGAGATTTCTTGAGGCTCCACATTATATTCCAAGTTTTCTGTTGACAAAGAGGCACATTCTCGTTAAAATGGACTTTCCTGTGGCGTCTTTTATCCAGAGCACTTCCGGGCAACCGTTTCCGAGTAGCATGCTCGAGGTGGGGGAAAGGAGACGGAGATGTTTATGGAATGTGCAGGAGCTAACAGGAAAGAGGCAGCGAGTGGCAAGCGGGAGGCGGAGGGATGGTGGCTGGGGCCCACAGCTCCGCACGGAACAGAGTACCTACCTTCCTAATCTCTGAGCGTGGGCCCCACCCGGGAGAAGCCAAGCCTCAGCCCCGGTGACCTGGCGCCAGAAAGGAGCTGGCCAGGCAGACCTTCCGCTCTGACCGTGCTCCAGGACTGTCTCGGTTCCCTGCAGTACGAAGCCAGACTTTGCACAGCCTGGCCGACGGGCCAACTCACACCCACAGTGCAGCACATCACCCCTAAACGTCCTAAATGCACTCAGGACACTTGGTCCCCAGAGTGCACAGGACAAGCACGAGGAGGTTATCTCAGCATCACTTATGACAGCACCCACAGCAGGTCACTGTGTAAAGAAATGATGGCACGTTAATTCAGAGAAATGCTGGGCAGCCAGGAAAATGAGCCATGTGCTGTCAAGATCCAATGGAGGAACTGGGAGTACAAAGGTGCTACTTAGAAGGCGCCTGGAAGGCCACATATCTGGCTGCTACATCACATGGCTTAACTACGTCATTTTAAATGGTTCTTTTAAACTGCGCACTTAGTTGTCATGGGAAAATGCAGTAAATATAAAAACTCTAATGTTTCAAAGTGCCACTGGCTGAGAGGATGCCCTTTCCTGCCCACCTGCCCCTGCT